GCTAGCTGACCTCACTGAAGAGGATTTTTAGTTGCTTGCTTGGTTGTTAGCTCACGCTCAACACTGAGTAATACTGACTGCCATTCAGACATACTTCACCTATGAGCTCCATCTGTGTTTTAATTACTATAGCAAAAACATCCACTACACCTACAATGGCTCCATAGTTATGTAACACTACAAGATAAAAACTCCTTTAACTAAAGGAATTTATCCATGGTAGTCATAGGGTACTGCTTACAGAGGAAATGGTTAAAATATTGAAATATTGATAAAGTTTAATAGCTTCCTGAAAAATAATCGTTTTCTGTAAAAGTGGATGTTGAAAATGTCTTCTTAAACTCTCATTCACTCAATAAATAAAAGTGCAAGCTTATAGTTTACACACAAGTACAAAAAGAATAATATTATACTTGGGTCTTTATCTTCCTTTTTGAAGCATTCTTCTTTAAACTTCACCAATAAAGCTTTGAAGGCTACGTTAACAATAAAGAATCTTATACTCTGTTGTCCCACATAAACCTGATGAAACACTGAAAGATAAAAGATGTAACACACAACTGTTAAACATAACAAAGAACTGCATAATATTCAATCACACTTGACGAGTAAGCACACTTATTACAGAGCTCTGACACATAAATAAGGCTAAGAAAAAACTGATACAAGAAAACCTTTCCCAAAGAACACCAAGGATGAAGAGTATGAAACACTTTAAAAAAATAACTACATACTTCTCTATATCTCTCTGTGGGTATCATGTGAACCCTATATATAATTTAGATATATCTTAAAAGACTAATTCAAAAGTGTTTCCATGGAATTCTATTCCTAGTGCTTCCATGATACAAGTAGCTAATTCACCACAGGTTGGGAACCACAGCTCATGTTCATGCAAGGCCTCTTGTAACCATGTCAAGAACTAAAATCAAGCCCACACATACCAGGGCACTGCCTGCAACAAATCATCACCACCCCAGTTCTTGCAAAGTCATGCTGCCCTTAATAAAGCTCACCAGAGAAAAGTACACACCACAATTAAATTGGACACTTCAAAAATCTTACTCTGGAGTCGACTATCAGGTGGAGTATTGCCCAATTACAATATCTAATTTAGTTACAGACAAACAGAAATACAATACTTTCCACTTGTAGTTTTTACAAGGTAACTCCTATTAATGTGTGAGCTACTGCAACCAACTAGTAAAATAAAATATACACTTTCAAACTTACTTCTAATTGAAAGACAATATATTTATAAAGCCTCATTAGCTCTCAAGAACAGAAGTGCTTTGTGATTTTTTTTTTTAGCCGGAGGAGTTGAAAAACAAATTTGTATTGAAACAAAGAAATTGCCAAGTATCACCTTCTTAGGATGAAAGTAACAGGTTAAAATTCTTTTACTGCCCCAAACAAGATGGCCTCACATGGCTTTCTTATGTCCCAAGATGCATAATTTGCTATTTGACACAAACATACATGAAACCAGACAGTCCTCTTTCCAAGATTTCCTGAAATCACAAGTTTGGGACCAAGTGTCTTTCTCCCTTTTGCATCTTTAATAGAATGGATGGTATGCTTAGCTGTTTGCATTCCTCTGTTTTTCTTTAATGGTGCCAGATGACCCTCACAGAAAAGAAGAAACTGAATCAGCCTTTTATCTCCCCTGCAAAGCCATTTGCTCCTTAAGAATCTGGTCAGTTTAGAAGAGGAAACAGCTACTATTTCCAGCAGTTTTGCAAAACTGCACTGATTCATACTCAGACAAACTGATTAATTGTTCCAGGATCCTTCTGTGAATTCATCTATGTGGTCCAGGATGGGGGATAAGCCTAAGAAAAAGCACTCCACACTAGTCTGGTCATTCACTGAACAGTTACCATATCCAAGAAGTCTACAGCAGTGAACACCTGAGCTGGCAGCCATGGAACTCCTGAGGCATTCCCGTTTGCAGGTAGGTTTCTTCAAAAAGGACAGGGATGGATGGCATACCACTAAATGGAGTATTTCACAGTGGTTCAGATTCAATCTAGATTTTTTAGGAAAACCTCTAAGAAGTTTGTACTGTGACATTCCTTCTGATGAACTGTACAGACTTCTTTAAACACCAGAATGTGGCAACACTACAGTTCTACAGTACTTTTTTGAAGATCTTGCTCCTTTTTTTCCTTTAAATACACATACCACTTCTGCAGAGATTTCTCTAAGAAAGCACTATGGAATAAAATACAGCCTTCAAATTATGTTAATTTTTTAGTTAAAGAAAAAACAAGCAAACAAACAAACAAACCACTCTAGAAATTGTACAGTGGCTGTAACAGTTCTGTTTTCTCATAGCAGTCTGACCTTTCTTCACAAGTGATGGATCCACTGTGCTTCTCATACACTAAAGCTTCTTTCAGGTGTATTGTAAGGAGAAAAGCCGCTAAGAGACTCCTTACACCAAGATTCACCAGCCTACTTCTATCACTCGGCTCTAAAACAAGACAAACACTCAGAGTGTCTCAGCATGTAATGGAAGTCATACATGGAAACCTTGCAGGAAGGTCCAAGACTACCAATCCTGTAGAAAACCAGATGGACTGGCTTAGTTCTAGACTTAAAGCTCCCTTTTGACTCCCACCCTTTCCCACCAAAAAGAGCTTACAGATCTACATCCAGAAAACAGAAAATAAGATTCAGGCTCAATGTAATGTGCAGCTTTCACTGAAGTACATATAAGTTGTTTTCAGCCAAGATTCCAGCAGCACCTCCAACTGAAGTAATTTACTTTAATACTAATTTTAGTGCATATAAAATAATATAAAAATAGCACTGTTAAAAAAAAAACCAAACCAAACCCTCACCTACAGCCTGAGGGAACACATGGTGTAAACTTAGAAACAGCATTATTTTATTGAATCATAAATTAATGCCTCTTTTAGATGCACAACACTGGGTTTTTTTTGTTTTATTAGTATGTTTACTGTAGAATTTGTAATTTTGTAGTTTCCTTATGCTGTTCCTTTTGTCCCTGCCCTCTTCCCAGATCTTTTTTACTCCTCCTTTAGTTAAATGCCAGTCTCACCCTGAACCTGCCTTTTTTCCAGAAATTTCCCTGTTGGTTCTGTATTTCTCCAAACTTTATTAGCTCACTGAAACTGTTCTCCTCCCTTGAAATTCTTTATTGCTTTATACATTGCATTCCCTGCCTTGTTTTTTACTCCCAATTCTCCTAATTTGTTAAATATTGTATCCTTCCCTTGGGACCTGACCCCATATATAAGTTACTGTCTGCCCCAGTTCGGGGTACTGGGACGCTGAAGAGGGAAAGTTTTACCATTGAATAAAGTTACCCCGCGACCTGTGTGCTGCTCTTTTGTTTATGCTGCGCTGTCACTGGTAGTTGGGATTCAATGAGGATTCAAAGTGGGGATTTGTTGCCTTCCCTGTCACCATCTAGCTGGGAGAAGGCTAAGAGGGTATGGAATAGGGAGACTGAAAAACACAACAGAACCTATACATGTTTGCATGTACAAATGAAGACGCTCAAAATTAAATTCTAAGAAAAAAAGTATCAGTGAGGTCCCATTTCCCCCACATGTAGAACACACTGAATACTGTCAAGGGATTCTCTTGGTTTTAAAAAAATTCTCCAGAATTAGATGTTGTAAATAAACATGACAGAGACAAACCAGCCAATTCAGACTAACAAGCTCTAGAGAATGCTAAAATGTTTTTCTTAGCATACTATTATTTTTGTTGTATATTTAGCTTTATAGTTTTTTCCTCTCAAAGATCATCTAAGCCACCTGTCACTACAAAATTATCATATTCACAGGATATGACAATATTCCCAACACCAGAAGGCAATATTTTCAGAACAGAATATATTTTTTGAAATCAATATGCTAGTTACCAGTCAATATGGAACGGAACTATTTATAAAAGCCTTGAACTTTGTAAATCTGTTCAGGAGAATATCAGTTCTTCCTATCTAACAGCTCCATCTGATTTATTATTATTACACAGATTTAAACAAACATGAGCATATGGTTCCAGACAAAAGAAAAGCACTTAGAAAAAAAACAGATAAAATTATGGAGATTGTTCCTCATTTTCATACAGCTACAGAAGGGAATCCCTGTATCTCTGGGGCACAGCTGAAGCATGATTTTTGGAATAATGTGGGAGGAAAAAGAAGACAAAAAGACACAAGCTGTTGCACAGTTGCTTATGGATTTTTCTACATTTTTAACACTCTTGATTAAATTATCCAATCTTACAGAAATACATGAATGCTTATCTACCAGTAATTACATTTTGTCAGAACAAAAATGTTAGGTACATTTCTGTAAGCAAATTCTAGCAAGATTTTTTCTATTGACTGAAATACGAGGCAAAACACAGAGCCTTCATCGCCTCATTCCACATGCATGTGTACAAATAATGACAGAAGAGACAGGATGCTATTGAGTAAACTTTATTGATTCTGAATGACTATGGATTTCCTCCATTATTATTATTATTAACTTCTGTGCAAACAAAGACAAGCTGCATGCTTTAAATATATAACCATGCAAAAATGCTTAAAGCTTTGTGCTGGAAGAAAATCTGGCCAGATCATGCAGACCAAGAAAGGCAAGGTGGTCTCAGCTCCCACATCCAGCCATGGTGAGGTTAAGCATATATCCCCACCAGGCACACAAAACACATATGTAATTGTACACATGACCAGCCATGGAGCAAGGAGGGAGGTAGAAGGGGAGGGCATCCTAATTTAAAGCCAGCACATTCCTAGCGTCAGCTCTTGAACTCAATTTCCTTGTTCAAACAAGATCAGAAATTTGTCTAGCATGTCTATCTGAATAGTAACTTCCCTAAGTATCAGGGAAAACATTCAGAAACTGACCACAAAATCTCATGCACCAACCAGCTACTTTTTCTCACAGTTGTACTTGAACAGGGAGATTTTATCTCCATAAAAACCCACCAAGATTTTAGGGTAAAGCTGTACTTACGGCTAAATTGATGCAGCAGAATATGCTCAGAGCTAAAGCTCTGCAGGGCAATTAAACCAGTCTTCTCTACTGCGACTGACTTTGTGAGGCCACAGATTCCAGTGGAAAGGGCTTATCTTGCCAGCTGGTGGAAAAGCTCTCTGCTCTGCTACAGACTAGGTTTATGTTGCATCAACCCACTAAACAAACGCATCGCATGACTGCTGTAGAGAGAAAAGAGCACCAGGAGAGCAAGATTACTCTTCTCAGCATTGAATTAACTTAGCATCCTCAAAAATTATTAGCATTACCTTAGATAATGTTCTAATCTGTTCTATTGTTAGGTAGTATAAACTGAAAGAATTCCCAATTTACCCTGTTCAAGTCTTTTTTTTCCTTCAAGAACTTCTTCAGCCCATGTTTAAGGTAACTATCTCTCTCTTCATCTTCATCTTTTTGATACTCATGCTAATTCTGTGATGTCCTTCTACAGGTCAGTACCACAGCATTGTTTGAAAAAAAACATGTTTCTTTCTTTAAAGTAGTTCTTACCCTTTCCTCTCAGTCCTCCTGTAATCCTGCTTGTTTTCTGCTCAGAACGGTGAAAACAGCAATGATTAATGACATCACTATAATGGAAGATCTCCAGAGTGCACCCAAACATGCACCCCTATAAATGACCTAACAGGATTATAGGGAAAGAACAAACAGAAACCCTGTTCCTGTAATGAACTGTTTGAATGTGAAACCCAAACATGGAGTCAAAAACTTGGTGGGAGGAAGAACAAATCAAACCCACTAATAAACATGAAAAAAAGCTCCCAACTCCCAACTACTACTACGTCCTTAGACAGGCATCATTAAAGAAACATATGTATTGCATACTGTTTGATTGTGTCTAACACACCAAACTGAAAACCAATCAAACAAAAAAACAATTAATAAACCCAACCAAACAAAAAAGAATGAACAAAAGCCCCCTAGCCTAACCTCCTAAGCTGAAACAGAAAAGACACACAATTCCTAAAGCCATAAAGGAAGACACTGTGAACAATCAAAAATTGCATTAAATATATAAACAGACTTTATTTTTTTAAGTGTCAAATGTCAAAGTTAATAGGCATCAGAACTGGAAGGGGAGTTATCAGTTTATCTAAAATATTATTCTTTCCTATATTATTATCCAAACTAACAGCTTAGGCAAGCAAGAGAGAGAAAAAAAGAGCATATATATCTTTATATTAGAAAGGAAAAAAAAAATCTCAGTACGCAAGGAATTAAAGATACTCAAAAGGCACAGTATTGTAACTAGACTGTCTTTCCAATTCTTCTAATGCATCACATCTTTTGCAATTAATAACATTAAAAACTATCAAATGAGTCAGTGCATACTAAGCATTTTGGTTAAGAAACATCAGTAGAGGCCCTCTTTCTCCAAAACAGACTTAAATGTCTAAATAAGCCAAGGAGTGTTATGATCAAAAAAATAAAAAACAGGTACAGGTTAAGAAAAGTTACTTGCATACTGCATATGCATGGGAGAAAGAGAGGTACTTGTGGACAATACATACCACCTTAATGTAGAATTTCCTGCAATATCAAAGCCCTTTCTCAATATGAGAAGGGCATTAATTGCTAAGTTACTGTTTTAATAATAATTTTCTTTTTAACTGAACATTTTTGTCTTAGGTAATACTCCTCATACTCCCATAATTTTGATCATCTTCTTATGATTAAAAATAAATCGCTGCAAATTTTAATTTGTAAAAACTTTCTAACTATATAATAAGTCAATTTGTTTTTACTTCAAGGATTTTTACTTTACCTTTTTTTTAATATTTATGAAAATTACCTCGACTTTGTCATTACATTTAAATTACACTAAACTATGCAATTGGTTCATTTAAAACATGCTTTATGCATTTAGTGAACAATGCAATGGAATAAAAGCAACACTGACACTTCAGTGTGAGGATACATAAAAACAATTCAATATGAAGCAACAGTCACTTACCTTGCAGTCTTATTAATTACTAAAATAAGACTAGATACCAGAATGTATGGAGAGAGGCCCGTGATCTTTAGTGAGGGCTGAATAATCTTCACGTAGATGCTGTGAAGAGCCCCTGTATGCATACTGACATCACCAGTGAAGGCTTTGAGGCAAAGGATACTATGGTAACCATGCAATGTGCTGAGAGAGAAGCCTTTAATTGCTTTAACAACTTCCTGAGGCTTGTGCTACTAGGTTTCCATTTGCTCAGAAAGAAATGAACGTTGCCACAGAGGCAGCGAGTGTGCTACTGCGCAGAAAAAACCCTGACCTGAATCCCGATTCTATTAATTGTGATGTGACTTTTTAAATTACAAGTGTCATAGCTTGAATTTATTATTGAAATCTAATATCTATAAGATCTGTCAGGAGTCAGAGGTCAAGAAGCAGTACAGTCAGGCAGTAATTTTATAAGCATTTCTGTTTTCTCTATTTGCATGCATCAACACCTTAACACTGATATTATCTTCTTCAAGTCACAGAAGAGTTTTAACTGTAGAACATTCTCTGCACTAGGGGGTAAAACACTGTTCACAACGAAACCTAAAGTCCAGCTAATACTAAAGCTCAGGTGTAATATAAATTGATATGCTGTGAAACAAGGTATTTATCCTGGTATCATGTCTCGTTCAACTTCAATGCCTACTAGTCAGTAGATCACTTAGGAAGGACAAAACTCTGGGAAATATTACTAGCAGTGACACGATATGGCCCAAAGACAGCTGAATAAGATTATTTTGGCTGTTTTCCAGAAAACTGAACTACCATCTCTTCATTGTGCATACAAATAGCTCAGCAGATATTTGTTTTCTCAAAACTAAAGAATAACCACATGACTAACAAACCAATCAGAATTACAGACTTTGTTGGGATTCCCTCAGTTTGGAGATCTAGAAGGGTCACCATAAACAGGTTTTTTAATCAATGTCATTGTTTAAATTCTAACATTAATCAAGCCCTTGTGAAGAAGTTTTGCTTTTCCACTTAGGCTGAAAGTTCTGATCATCAGATGCATAGATTAGGAACACCACTGAGCCAACCATTTCCACAACTAGACATCATTTGGTCTTGCCAACCGAATTTTACACTCTTATTTTTAAAAAGCACAAGTGCAAATACCCTCAGATGTTTCACATACCTGCTTTTCATAGGAAATTTTCTGTACACACATGGTTTCAAAACCATTGATCTAAGGAGCAATAGTGTATTGACCTCCGCCCTAGTATCTTTTTGTATATAATGCTACACACACTTCAGAGAAAAGGCAGAGAGAGAACAGTAGAAAACAGATGGAGACTTGCCTTTATCACAAAGACAACTCACTTAAGTTTCCGCTACCTGCAATGCAGGAAGTCATAACAATGTTGATCCTATGTTGAGACCAGTATTATGTCTCCAATGGACACTAACAGCACTAACCCATGCATAAATAGAGAAAAAGAGCAGCTGAAAACCATAGCTCAACAAAAGCAGAAGACTGTACCCTCCAACTCCACCTTTAGAGACTGATGTTACAAGAAATATAGCTCCTGTTAGGAAACCCAAGTCAAAAGAGCCACAGCAGTTGAAACTTCCTCTAAAACCAAGATATGAGATGTAAAGGTGCTTATCACCTCAAATTAATTTCCAAGTTAACAGCTTAAAAAAAAAGGAAAAAAAGAAGAAAAAAAAACCACACCAGCCTGAAGCCAAGTATAAAAGCTTGCTCTAAAATTGAAGCAATAAACTTCTAACTATTGAGTGGAAAATATAATTACAAAAAATTAAAAAGAAAACACACATGATTTTAAATTGCTAGATGACACACTCAGCCTTTAAAGCGACATTTTTCCAAAACACAATTCCCACAATCTCTGTCCTGTTTTGGGAAGGGGAGGATCAGACAGTAGCTGCAGATCTAGTAAATTACATCCAGCCTTTCACAGGATGTAATTATAAATAAATCCAACGCCTTAATTGTTTGGATTTAGCAGCTAAGTTACTATCTCAGTTTTTTTCCAAGTAGAATCTCAGGTAGAAGTATTTTTCTGGGCCAATTCCACAACTTCCGGTTCATCTCTAGTTAACTCACTTGACTGCTTTAAAAACTGAATAAAAGGAAAAGCTTCATTGTCCATAAAGAGTAACTTAATTTAGTATAATTAAAGGGTTAGTATAACGTCAGGGTCAGTATATACAACATCCCTCCTGTAAGTGCTACACAAAACCAATCAATTTAGGTTAGTAAAGTAGGGAGACAGGGATTGGAGGCAGATTAAACATACCAGATAACAGTTTTTCATTCTTAGTATTTCTTTGAGCTGAAGAAAGTCTGGTTTTAAGAGGGAAAAAAAAAAAAAAGAAATAAGCAGTAATTTTATTTCTGTATGTCTGTGGACAAGCGCAAGCTTAGGATGTCAGCACAGAATAAGGCTGCAAATAACAATACAATGGCATGTAGAAGAACCATCCTGACATCATTTTTGAGGCCACATGTAATGGCTTCCTGTTATACCTAAACTTCTAGAACTATTATACTAACATTCCACAATCGTTCAAGGTTCTCATTTCTACAGCAATAGAAAGAATCACAGAGTAGCTCAAGCAATCACAACAGCATATTATTAATTCGTACTTTTATTAAGAGAGATTTCAACCTATTTCCTGGCACTCTTCCACAAATCTCTTCCTCTATCCAAGAGGGTAATCTGAGGGCTGGAGCACCTGTCCTCTGAAGCCGGGCTGAGAGAGTTTAGTATAAGCTGTTCAGTCTGGAGCAGAGAAGGCTACAGGGGGAGACCTTATAGCATCCTCCTGTATCTAAAAGGGGTTTACAAAAAAGCTGGAGAAGGACTTCTTTAGAAGGACATGTACTGCTACTACAAGGCGAAATTGCTTTGAACTGAAACAGAGTATGCTTAGATAGCATATAATAAAGTTTAGATATGAGGGTGGTGAGGCACTGGCACAGGTTTTCCAGAGACAGCGTGGAGGCCCAGTCCCTGGAAGTGTTCCAGGCCAGGCTGGATGAGGCTCTCAGCAATCTGGCCTAGTAGCATGTGTCCCTGTCCCTTGCACAGGAGTTCAAACAAGATAATCCTTAAGGTCTTTCCAACCCAAACCATTAAGCAATCCTATGAGTTCCTATAAAATCTCCCCTCCACACCGAAATCTGGGCATATGCCCTTTAAG